ATCTATCTATCTATCTATCTATCTATCTATCTATCTATCTATCTATCATATTGGGTAGGACTGTTGGTTGTCTCCCTCCTTGGTAAGTTTGAACGTTGCCTTCTTGCATGAAAGTTAGTTCCCAGGGAGGACGAATTATTGTCAGATCCATTTCTTGAGTCCCCTGAGACCTATGTCCAAAGTTCATGGCTTCTTCAACAATCGGGACTCATCTTCTATGTCTGTGAGACAACCATGGTCAACAGTAATAGCATGTAATGTATTGGGAGTCTCTTGGAGAGCTATAACCACAACTTCAAAGCAAGCTTCTCCTTGGTAGTTTTATTAGAAAATATTTGAGTCTTATAGGGAGCATCATCAGCCCAATGGGAAGTTTTCCTTTACACTCCAAATGTATATGCATTCACAGACTTATATGTATGTATGCATTTATGGAAGATGGACAATTACTTATGATAGTTTAGACATCTTTAATGGTTTTCTTTTCTCCTTCTTATGTGTTTATGTGTTTGTATTTGTCCCTTCTCTATAATGAAATCCTGCACTTTTTCCATTTTCCCCTTTAGATGACGTGTTCCCTGTTACCTCCTGTCTATTATTCACCCACATCCCACCATGGTCTGTTTTTTTACTTTTCTGGTTACTGTATTTACTCCAGGTTGTGTGCTTACATCTGAATATTTGGAGCTAGGAACTTTCTATGAGAGAGAACATGTAATGTCTGTCTTTCTGAGTCTGGGTTACTCTGTTCAGTATGATCTATTCAAAGTCCATCCATTTACCTGCAAATGTTATGACTTCAATTTTCTTTAGAGCTCAATAATATTTTATAGTATATATATATATATATATATACACACACATTCTTATTTGACAGCTGAAGGACATTTATGTTGTTTCCGTTTTGTATCTATTATGAATATAACAGCAATGAACATGGGTGATCACGTATCTGTGTAATAAGATGTTGAGCCCTTTGAGCATATGGCAAGGAATGGTAGAGCTGAATAACGTGCTAAATTTATTTAACTTGAGGATTTGTTTATTTAATTGAGGATACTCTATATTCATTTCCAGAATGGCAACTTTTTTGTTCATAGTATTTATATTCCCTATTATTTTGCTTTTTGTTGTTTTTGCTGACTGGATTACTCATAGTATTCTTTCTTTACTGTGAGAAAGAGTGGTTTGCTGTCTTGAGCATGGGTGATTATTTCCCAGTTTTCCTGTATTTATCTCCTTTTCACATGAAATTTATTATTTCCTGTGTTCTCATATGTATTTCCTCTCATTTTCCTGTGTATGTTTTGCCTCTAATTTATTATATGCTATGCTACTTTAGTAAAATGAATTGTGTTAATTCTTGACTGTCTTCAAATGTACTATGTCTCCATCAGTTTTGAGAGTATTTTTCTGAGTGTAACAATATGGTTGATGGTGATTTTCTCTCCAATTTTTGAATGTCTTTCCATGCTCTGCTGGTTTTTGGATCACTGACCAGACACTAAGTAATATTCTGTTACTTGAGTCTTTTTATGTGGTTTGACCTTGTTCTTGAATAGCATTTAGTATTAATTTTACTTTTCCTGTTTGACCCCTTAATATTAAAGATCCACAAGCCAGCTATTCATTGTTCTTCAAAGAGAAAATCAAAGAAGAGAAACAGAAGGACATGTCCCAGGTCAGTGGTCATGTTCACTCTATTTCAAAAAATATTACAGTTTAATACATTGCATGTCTTTAATTTTCTGCTTCTGATGATTTTTTTAATTTTTATTTTGAATTTTTTTTGCCAGCAGACCAACAAAATCACCTACTGCAATTAACCAGACCTAGTGACTAGACAACACAACGCATTTTTATGAAGTTACAATATTCATTTGAAACAGAAGCTCTGGAACCTCAGATGTGATTTTATGTTTTTTTTTGAATATATGTTTATGTACTAATCCAACACCAAACACCCAAAATCTTGTGATTGAATTACAGTAAGAAAAGCATTTACCTTTACATCCTTTTTCATAACTGGTGGTCATTACCTTCATGGCAGGCACATGTCGCTTAATTGTGCCATAAAACTAGGTTCTTGAGTATAGACTGAGATTGTAATCTACCTGTATTTCTTTTTGGTGTTTAATATCACAATTGATATGTCCATGTGTTGGTTAGTACCGCACATCTGTTTGTCTTAAGAGAATCACTCACTTCTTTAGGAAACTCAGTGGTGGCTTTCCAAAGTAGAGAGATCAGTATTTTTACTTTTTTTTCCCCCTTTACTTTTTCTTTGTTCCCACAGCATCAGACTGTGCAGAACACTTGGGCTTGGACTCATTAATTAGAATTATGTGGAATGCATCCATACAATGTCTTATGGGCATTGACTGACGTGAATAAACTATTCCATTTGATGCAGAGAGGCTATCCCTTGTGATGGCCTTGCTCTACACGCTTTGTTTGAATGTCAGCTCTCCATGCCTACCATGCAGCTTCACTGTCCTGAAATTGCTATTTGTCTATTGTGGTTCTTATATATTCTTAGGAAAATTTTAGATTACATTAAGTGTGTCTGATGCAAAGTTTTCTGTCTACTTGTTAGTGGCCCAAATATTCATATAAAAGTAATTGAGCAGACTACTTGATTTTTATGTTACAGAAAATCTCAAACTCTTTGCCTTCTTTGCCCAGAAGTTAATCATGAGTTCTGCCTTCCATACCTACTTCTTTGCTATTCAATGGTGTGGCATTGCATCTAGAATTTAAAATCATACCTGAGCCTGTTAGAATAGATTATGTGAGACCCAATAGAGACGGGATTGACTCAGTGTCTGGATTTTAGCATGATCTTCAGGCAGAAAATTTAAGAAGACATGTCCTCATCATGAATGTGCTTCTGAGACATGTACACTGTGATCATGTGATAGATAACCATGTCCAGACCTTAAATGTGTTTTTTTCATTGATACTGCTTATAAAACTATTGTGTCATCCTATTTTCACAGAGTTCGAGAATTCATTACAAAATGTGACTTTATTGGAAATCCTCTTTTTGATTAATTTTTAAATTTTTAATGATTTTTGATGATACTTGTCCTCACTCATCTGCATTCTGTCTCTTTATTCTACCCTGTAGCACATAGTCAAACTGTAATTTTTTTGTTTCAGGGTCTGTTGACATTCTGGGATGTGGCTGTGGATTTCTCACAGGAGGAGTGGAAATGCCTGGACTCTGGTCAGAGGGCTTTGTACATTGATGTGATGTTGGAGAATTACAGCAACCTGGTCTCTGTCGGTGAGAACATTTTGCTTGTAGAATTTTTAACTCATCTTTTGTAAATACTAACCCTATATGTTGTAAATTCTCCATATAAGCTGTCATGGAAAAAAAAAAAAACAGAAGACTAGGCAAAGTTTAGTAATGAAAAAGAAATTTTCCATGAGGTTTGCCTGCCTATGCTAGCAAAAGACAACCAGAGAGTGTATCTACTATGATCAAGTATGTGGTGGAGAGACTGAAGACAAAGAGAAGCATAGTGATTTGTGCTCTAGGAAGAAGAACTGGAACTGAAGACCCAAGTTCAGTGAGGAACAGCCTGATGTGAGATGCCTCCATTGCCACCTGAGGCCATGGTGATGTCCGGGCCATACTGCCACTGCTGAGGGCCATGTCTGGGTCCATGGATCTATTACAATGGATCCGTGTTTCAATGTCTGTGGCTTATGTTACTACCAAAGGCCGTGCTGATGTCTGTGGTCTGCATGCAGGCTGCTGCCTGAGGGCATGTTGATGACTGAGGGGCTCCCTGAGCTGTCCCTGCCTCTACCAGTCATGACATGGTTAGGCAAGCTATGAGATGGGCATGGGAGAGCTGTCTCTGATGGCATGGGTGCAGGAGAGTTGATGAGCAAACCAACTCAGCTACACCTAGGACCAGTTCCAGAACTATGAGTTACTCCACTCCAACATCTACCACATCTGTGATCTGCGGGCCAGTTCTCCTGAACCAAACTGCATGATCTCCATGACTCGTGGCAACAGCAAGATATCCAAGAGGAGTCTTGGCAAGGGTTCTGTACTGACGGTGTAGCAGAAGCAAGAGGCCTGAAACCAGAGCAATTACTCATTGCAATAAACGTTTGCAAGTAAAGCTGTTTGAGCAAAAGGGTATATGATGTGATATACATGATGGGGGAGTGGACTTGGACATGCACAGCTCCTGGTGCTGTAACAGTTATTCCAGGTGTTAGAGGAGGCTGCTGTTGACACAGAGCATGTAGTTCTCCATAAGAGTTAAACAATTTTTTTAAAAACCGTTTTTAAAAAAAATTATTGAAAATTAATTTTTAAATTTTTCTTTCAGAGGTAAGTTACAAAGATAGACAGAAGGAAGTTATTGTAGGGCTGGGATATCAGTGGAATTAAGGTGCATGATGCAAAATTTATGAACAATCAGTAAAAAATAAGTTATGAAAAAAAGAACATTTTCATGGTGTTTAGTTTTTTTCTTTTCATTTTTTTTCATTTTAGAAGTATCATGCACCCTTGGTTTTGGTTCCAAGATGCATTCTGAAATTCAGTAGTCTATACTGTATCCAGCCATATCTTAAACCTCTGTAACCATCATTACAATTGACACTGTTTTAATTGTAAGAGAACTGAAGATATGCAAACTGAAAATTATTCCAGAATATGCTAGAAATTCTGACAGGATATAGGACTTGGGAATTTATTCCTAGATTCCTCTATTTCCTGTTCTTCTAATGTACTGAGCACAGTATGGTATTAGACATCTGTGTTGTTTTCAAAAATTATAACATGGTTTATTGGCTACTTCACAGAAACCATTGATTATTGTGTGCAGAGTAGGCCTGGTCGCCTGCTGGAACAAATGAGGTTGCCCTGGAAGATGGATAATTGTAGTAACCAAAACCAGGGAGGGCAAGCGAATGAGCAGGACAACAGTGAAGGATTCAAGTGAGAGAGAAAGCAAGAGCTGAAACTGCCTTTGCTGTATTAAGTTCTCCTTGAAAAGATTCCTGGTCCTTGTACTTACTACAGTCTCCTGTCCTCAACATGTGTCCTGCCTGCTGTAACTCTTAGAAGTCGTTGTGACTTATGAGACCTGTAGACCTGAATGGGAACTAAACACTAGTACAGTGTGCAATTTTTCTTGATGGTGCAGCCATCAGATTGGAATCATTTTACAAATTATAAGTCTGAGTCCATGAAGTAGGATTATTCTGTAACTGCCTTGCTTGCTTGTATGTCTTCATATTACATGTTTCATTTTCATTCCAGTGGAAGATAAAGAGACATCCTTCTGGAAAATAATCTTAAGAGTTGGTAGAGATTAGACTTGAGAATAACCATATAAGGAAAGTTAGGAAACACAGCAGTGTGAGGAGCTCAGACAGTGGAGGAAAAGATATGAGCAATAGCTGCCTGTGAAAGCCCTGCCTCAAGTGATCTAGAGCTGGCAAAATATTTGCTTTGCATCCATTAATTTTGAACAATCTAATACTATTTATTTATTTATTTATTTATTTATTTATTTATTTATTTGAAAAGAATCAAACCCTTGGATGCTTTTCGGCAAGCCTTTAATCTTACAAGGCAATGGGTCTCCTGCGGAGTAATTTCCATTGCTATATATTAGGCGGTACACTCACTGTGAGCCTGGGACTGGGTTAAAGTCTTCATCCATTTCTGAGGAAAAAAATCAAAAAGAGAGACTTATACTCTGAATATAATCAGTGAGTGAGCTCCACCTCAAAGATAATTACTTACCCTCACTTGCTTGTTCCAGTTTGTGCCAAGTTAGACATTTTCAATAAAGATGAAATATCTACTAGAAACCACCTACTGTGAAGGCTGACATGCTGTTTTTGTGAGGATCCATACAGTTACAGTGAAAGAATAGTGTCAGCTACTGAGAGCTTGGTTCTAAACAGTTGAAGTTTGACTTAGTTTATAAGAGAACATACAGAGACAGCCATTTATCACATGTATCATCTGGGAACAAGCCCTATTAATCTGACTTGTATTCATTTTCAGAGAACTATTATACATGTGATACTGTCTATCACCATGTGAGGACCGAAAAAGAGTCATGTCAGTGTAATGAGCTTGGTGAAATGCTTCATGATGCCTCCAACTCTGAACTTTATAAAAGATATGACAGTACAGAACCCTCTAATAACTACAGGTGCCATAAGGACAGGGATGCCTCTGTTGACTCATCAAACCCAGATCAACATAAAAGGATGCACACTGGAGAAGAACCTTTCAAATCTAAAGACTGTGAGAAATCTTCCAGTTTGTGTTCCAACATTAGGCAAGATCAAAGACTCTCCACTGCAAAGAAAGAGCACAAGCAGGATGAACATGATGACCATTTCAGCTCTACACACAGTCTCATGGAGCAAACAATCTACATTAAAGAGAAACGATACCAGTGTGGGCAATGCAGGAAATTCTTCAGTACTGCCTCAAGCTTCAGCATACATAAGAGAATTCATACTGGAGAAAAACCCTACAAGTGCAATATTTGTGAAAAATCCTTTAACAAGTGCACAAATCTTAAAACACATCAAAGGCTTCATACTGGAGAGAAACCTTACAAATGCAAAGAATGTGAAAAGTCATTTGTGCAGGTATCTGCACTTAAAAGCCATCAGAGAAGGCATACTGGAGAGAAGCCTTACAAATGTAAGGAGTGTGACCAATCCTTTGCCCACTGTGCATCATTAAGATGGCATCAGAAAACTCATTCTCCTGAGGTACTACGTTATGAATGTAAAGAATGTGCTAAGTCCTTTTTTGAATTATCACGTCTTAAAAGGCATTACAGAATCCACACTGGTGAAAAGCCTTACAAATGTGAGGTATGTGATAAATCTTTTACTACAAATTCAACTCTTAAAACTCATCAGAAAATTCATACTGGAGAGAAACCTTACAAATGTAGGGAATGTGACAAATGTTTTACCAAGTGCTCACATCTTCAAAGACACCAGAGTGTTCATAACCAAGAGAGACCTTACAAATGTAAGGAATGTGGGAAATCTTTTACTAAGTGTTCAACTCTTCAAACACATCAGAAAGTTCATAATGTGGAGAAACCTTACAAATGTATGGAATGTGATAAATCCTTTACCCAGGTCTCACATCTTAGAACACATCAGCGAATTCATACTGGAGAGAGACCTTATCGATGTAAGGAATGTGACAAATCTTTTCGTGACAGCTCAACACTTAGAGTACATCAGAAAATACATACTGGAGAGAAACCTTACAAATGTTTGGAATGTGACAAATCCTTTACCTGGCACCCACATCTAAGAAGACATCAGAGAGTTCATAGTGGAGAGAAACCTCACAAGTGCAAAGATTGTGATAAGTGCTTTCTCTGGATTTCTAGTCTTCGAATACATCAGAAAATTCATGATGGAGAGAGACCTTATAAATGTAAGGAATGTGCCAAATCTTTTATCTGGTACTCAAATCTTAGAGTTCACCAGAAAATTCATACTTCAGAGAAACCTTACAAATGTATGGAATGTGACAAATCCTTTTCCCAGTATGTACATCTTAGAACACATCAGAGAGTTCATACTGGAGAGAGACCTTACAGATGTATGGAATGTGACAAATCTTTTACTAGAGCCTCAACTCTTAGAGCACATCAGAAAATTCATACTGGGGATAAACTTTATAAATGTAGGGAATGTGACAAATCTTTTACCAGATGTTCACATCTTAGAATACATCAGAGTGTTCATACTGGAGAGAGACCTTACAAATGTATGGACTGTGACAAATCTTTTCCTACGGGGTCAACTCTTAGAGCACATCAGAAAATTCATACAGGAGAGAAGCCTTACAAAAGCAAAGACTGTGATATATCTTTTTCCCAGGCCTCACATATGAGAACACATCAGAGAGTTCATACTGGAAAGAGATCTTACAGATGTAAGGAATGTGGCAAATTCTTTACTCAGTATTCAACTCTAAGAGACCATCAGAAAATTCATACTGGAGAGAAACCTTACAAATGCAAAGACTGTGACATATCCTTTATATGGATTTCAAATCTTGAAAGGCATCAGAAAATTCATACTGGAGTGAAACCTTACAAATGTAAGGAATGTAAGAAATCTTTTTCTAGGTGCTCAAATCTTAGAAGCCATCAGACAATTCATACTGGAGAGAAACCTCACAAATGCAAAGACTGTGACATATCCTTTATGTGGATTTCAAGTCTTAGAAGACATCAGAAAATTCATACTGAAGAAAACATAACATTGTAAATAATATAATATAACATTTATCTGGTATTACCTGCTTGCAAATCACAACAAGAGAAGTAATAGAAATGTAAAAATAACAAGCTTGTGAAATCCTTTAATGAAGACTTAAATCTCACAAAATGTATCAGAGTTCGTATTAAAATAAAATTCTGGAAATGTAACTGTATGGGAAGCTTTTTATTTCTTTTTAATACTGGCCTGCAAGTATGTCATGCACTGCATGTATGCCTGGTACAGGTAGAAGCCAGAAGAGAGCATCAGATCCTCTGAATTTGGAAGTACAGAGAGTTGTGTGTAGCTATTTGTATGTTGAGAACTGAACTCTGGTTCTCTGGAAGAGCAACCAGTACTCTTAACCACTGAGCCTTCCCTTCCATCCCTGGGAAAATCTATCACAAAAACATTTATCCCATTCAACATCCAACCATTCATAATAATGCCAGGCAAGATGGTACATGCCTTTAATCACAGCACTCAGAAGACAGAGACTAGAAGATCACTGTGAATCCAGTTATAAGACTGCCAGAACCACATAGACTCTGTATCAAAAAAAAAATAATGACAGCATATAATAACTTTGAAGTTTTGACAAAGACATCTAATTATACTGTACATCACATAGATCATACTTCTGAGAAACCATGTAAAGGTATACCACACATAATCCCGAAGTGTTACTCATTGGAAAGTACATCCCCCTAAATGTATTGAATTTGACAAATCCTTCACAAAATAGTGCTGAAATTGCAAAGGTAAAATAAAATTCATCCTGAAAGAAAAAGCCTGTAATAAATTCTCATAATTCATTCACCTTTCAAATTTTTCATATTAGAGTTAAGCCTTACAAATACCAAGAAGGAGATAAAGTGTCAAGAGATAGGCTGTGCACGTGGCATAATTGGAATGCTGATATACAGCTTAGAAATCCTCAAAGGCAAAGGATGTGATGATGCACCCCTCCCATCCCAACGATCTAGACAGAGATGTAGGCTCATCCATATAAGTTTTAGGCCAGCCTTGTCAACAATAGGAATTACAAGTCAGTCAGGATTACAAAGAGAAACCACAGTCTCGGAGATGGGAGACAAAGAATGCAATCCCTATAGGTAAGCAGAAATTTCTTTTGAAGTACTGATAAAGAAATATTTGTTCCAAACTCTGAAATTAAATAATATAGCTGTCATTACCAGCAATTACACCCTCATGGAATTAATGGAGACCCTAGAACACTCCATGAGCCGTGATGAAATGGTAATTGCCCCAGTCTTTCACAGTTGCTTATTCTTAGTACTTTCTCAACAGTTATGGGTCTCTGCATTATCTGCCTCCTACTATTTCACTATTTTATAAACTGATCATTAGAAACTGAATATTTAGGTGGCAAATTAATAACATGTTTATTACAAAAACATCAATAGTTTCTGTCCTTGGATTTATACTTCCAAAGCCTTTGTTTTGTATTGTTTGTTTGTTTGTTTTTAAATTCTGGTATGAATTTCTCTAAGAAGCAGGCCTCAAATCCATTCAAGAATGAGCTTGCTTATGCCCATACACAATAGTGCCAGTAGTACACAGTGCACACATCTTGGCTAGTACTTTGGTACTGTAGGATGCATGGTCCAGGGATAAGACCGTGACATCCTTTCTCTGCTAGCAGCCTGCACAAGACCTTGCAGTGCTATAAAAGCTAGTCAGATTGGAAAGTTTCCTAGTAAGTTCAAGACTGCTCTTTGTCTATCTTGAAACCAAAGTGGTGTCTTCAGTAACACCATGTGCTTTGGAAGGCCATGCAGGAGCACTGGCAATGACCTCTTTTTGGGGCAGGTACTTCTGGGGTCTCTATGACCAGTAAATCCTAAGTAGATACCCATAGCTTCTACAGAGACCTCCAATTAACAGCCCTGGCATGGAGAGCAACATTATTTATTCATTTTATTTACACATGAGTAATACACCTTTGTAGATATGTGTGATATTTTCATTTACCCATGTGTCATTTGATGGACATCTGAGTTGATTTTATTACCCAGATACTGTGAATAAAGGTGCAATGAACATGATGGGCAAGTGCTCTTTGGAAAAGATGGAGAGACCTTGGAGGTCGTGCCTGGGAGAGTTTTTTGTGTATCAGTTTCCTCTGAGATTAAACCTTCCAACTTGGAGGAAGCTCCTTAAAACACAGGCTATTAAAGCAGAGATAAAGAAATGGGAGGTGATACATTCAGTCCTATAGAGAATCACATGAAGCTCAGAAATTGTTGACTTAATACCTTCAGGAGATCCTATAAATTGGCAAGATTCACTAGTGCCCTCTTGCCTCATGCATACATAATTGGTAAGGACTGCTGACACCATCAGTCACACCAGTAAAACTCATTGGCCGACTGGGATTTAGAGATGACTTAGTGGTTAAGGACATTGTCTGCTCTTAAAAAAGACTCATTTTGAATTTCCAGCACCCTCACATGGGCACTCAATCTGTAATCTCAACCCAGGGTATCCAGTGCCCTCTTCTGGCCTCTGTGAACTACAGGAACATACATGGTGCATAGACATACATGTAGACAAAATACTCTTTAAAAAGAAAACAAGTTGACTCACCAAGTTGGACTTTGTTGTTTCCCAACATTGATTTATCATTGGTTCCTTATTTGTAATAAATAGAGGTGTGTCTTTGTTTCCCTAATAATAATGCTACACATCAGGTGTGATGGTTTGTCTATGATTGACCCAGGGATGGCACTATTAGAAGATGTGGCCTTGTTGGAGTAGGTATATCACTGTGGTCGTGGGCTTTAAGACCCTCATCCTAGCTATCTGGAAGCCAGTATTCTGCTAGCAGCCTTCAGATGAAGATGCAGAACTCTCAGCTCCTCCTGTACCATTATGCTGCCATGTTCCCAGTTTGATGATAATGGACTGAACCTCTGATCCTGTAAGCCAGCCCCAATTAAATGTTGTCCTTATAAAAGTTGCCTTTATCAAGGTGTCTGTTTACAGCAGTAAAACTCTAAGACATCAGATCTTTAATTGTGTCACTCAGATTTATATATATATATATATGATTTTTAAAGCAAATTCTCTAGTATTCACTCCATCAGCAGTATTTGACTTCAGTGCCCCATGTTTATGTCAAGAATAGTGTTATCTTTTCTGTTCCTGATGATGGCCTTTGTAGCTAGGGCAGTATGGTAACTTAAGGGAATCTATGGCTGCATTTCATTGATAGATTTATAAACTTTTTTGTTTGTTTTGATTTTTCTTTGGGTTTCTTGAATTTTTTGTTCATTCATTTATTTTCTACATTTTTTTGTTCCTTAACATTTTTGAGATAAAACTGTAATTGTAAATGTTTCCATTCCTTTTCCTACTGCCAAATCCTCCCATATATTCTTCCATGCCCTCTTTTAAATTCATGGCTTCTCATTTCATAATTCTTTACAAATTGTTCACAAATTCTTCCTTGAGCTTTAGGTGCATGAGTGCTTTGTAGATATATCCAATGGGCATGAGCTCTACAACCCTACATTTTGATTAATTGTGGATTTTTTGTAGTGGTCTATGTTGAAAGAGGAGTTTCCCAGATGAGGGAAGAAGATTACATTTATTTGTGGTTATGGGTAAAAATGTTTAGATATTTTCTATCAGAGATTATTCTGATTTAGTAACGTGGTGATTGTTGGCTCTCCTCTAAGATTCCTGACATCACCCACCCTGAGTAGGTAGCTATGTTTTCAGTATCAGACATGGTTTCCTTTTTTAAAGAGTGTCTTAAGTCCAACTAGAGAACTATTGGCTACCACCAAGGTGAGCTTGCACCCTTGGAGTTGTCCTGCCAAGATGAGCATTGATGTGGTTCATAAGCATCATAGATGTGTAGGACTGTCCGTTAGATTCCTCTTTTGTAAGTGTTGGTGTCCAAGAATTGCCTCACAAACCATACACACACTGATCTAAGCCAGACACGGATAGTTTATCAAGCATACACCCCAGGACAGGTAGACCAGAGCCATAGTCCCGATCTGGGACATGAATCATGACATTGAATTAAGATTCTACAGGATTTTTAAGTCCCTAAGTCCATCTGTGCCAAGTTATTTCCCCAATCAGGATTTAGGGGCACAGTGATTTCCTTAGGAACATGTCTTTGTTGTATATTTATCCTACTTCCATTGGTTGGGGTATTCCATTGGTGACAGGGGACTTCCCTTGACTAATAGTCATGTCTTCACTTGGCTACCAGGATGGAACTTGTCTAACATTCATGTCTTAACTTGCCAACCAGGATGTCAGTTACCTACTTACATGTCTCTTTCTGCCAAGTAGGATGTTAGTTCCCAGGGAGGTCTTGGGAACTTAAACTTTACTGGACCACTACTCAAAATGGAAGTCTTATTTCAAATAATTTCTTATACTGGTGCAGATGTCTCTCTTATGTAGAGGCCCATCCCAGGGGCAGCTTATTACCATAAAAACTTATAACAGGAGCGGAAAGTGTTGTTGGGTCGTGGGCTTGGGTCCAAGCCTACTATGGGTAATTATACAAAACAGTTCTACTGACGAACTGGGACGAAGGCAGTGCACGGACCGCTGCTGTAGAGAGGGAACTCCGTGGGCCGCTAGAGCGCAGAGAGCACAGGGAAGGGCAGACAAGCCTTGTCTCCCCACCCCCGCGTGAGTTTTCCACTTACACAATGAGTCCAGAGTTCTAAGAGACATGTGGAGTTGAAGGCGTACAGATTAATTGACATGGCGATGAGTTTGAATGGTGGAGTGCTCTCCTACAAAATACCCAAAGGGGCTTGTTTATATTGGAAGTCGGAGAGGGGCGGGGCCAGGGCCTTTAGGTAAATCTTGAGGCAGAGACCTGTTCCTCCCCCCAACCCCCACCTGGGCCTTATGTACCGCGTGTCAGGTCTCTGGGCACTGGGGGCGTGGCCAAACACCCCAGGATTTCCACAGTCCCACATATAATCACAGCTATCCAGGTTACCTAGGCCTTAACATTCCATCTAGGTCTTAATATTTTATCTAGACCTTAACAGGAAGCTTGGATGCTGATTCTGGTATCATAAAAGCTATTCCTTAGGGAGGAATTTTCTTTATTTTGAGACAGGGTCTCTCTGTGTATTACCAGCTGATGTAGATTCTATGTATACCA